TTCAATGCATATGACTTTCGGGACACAAAAGACAAATACTTTGTGCATTACATATGCGTTATACAACTCCCGTCTCATCTCTTCATTATAATATGGCATTCATTCATCTTTTGTTTAAGTTTTGCTATTTTTTATAACTTTTTTATAATGAGATTCTTATAAATAAAGCCAAAATGTCAGTCACTATATTATACAAGAGTTATACAGATTTTAAAATTAATTTTAGAAAAGATTTCAACTAAAGATAATTTCACTCTTGAATTGAAATTCTTTGCAAAATTATTCTTGAATTTAAAACATTTGATAAATTTTGCAAAGATATGGACAAAATTTTTCTGTATAATCAAATAGTTTGAGATAAAAAAAACGGATGATATGTTTGCAAATAAAGTGTTTTGAAAATAAATCTAATATTTAATTGAATTGTAAGCATATTTAAAGTGTAAGGGTTGACGGGAGTGGAGAGCCGAGAGCACCGGTATATTCCAGTATACACTCAAGATTGTTGTGTTAAAAGTGTAGAGACTATACTATGCTTTTTGGATTTTAACCATCATTTGTAGATTATATATAAAATTTTGCGATAAATTATAGCCAAAACAAATCTTTCGATGAATGAATGATTTTTTGTACAAATTTTTCATTTAAATTTCATATCTCATTGAAATTTTCCACTTATTATAAGTTTAGTGGAAGTCTTCATATCTGAGGCAAAGAAGTGAAGCGATAAGCAGATTGTTTGACTCCATCTCACCATCAGATAGAGTCATAAATCACACAAATTGTGATTATATTTGATGTTTGTTTTACTACTAGTTTATAAAATATTAATATAATTAACGAGTAATTAAACAAACAGTGAATTATAGCTATAAATAGCTTTCATATCATAATAATTAGTGAATGCAATGAATGGGACGTAATTGATGTGAATGTGTGGACACGTTGTGAACGTATTATTGGTTAAGAAAAATGTAAACATTTAGTGATTTAATTGTCATTTCATTTGATTCAACACTTTATTTGCCGATAGTTTTCAATATAATGTCCGCTTCGGAGCCACAGCTCAGCCACGGATTGTCGCAACCGATGGCCACCGGATCGGCGCCGCAGACCATCACTGGTGGCGATCCGTTGTCGTCGCTGTCGTCGGCCGACAAGCAATCGGTGCCACTAATGATGGAAGCGATGGAACCGATGGGCGAATTGGACGGCGCTATCAATAGTCTGGCCGTCTCTGCGAAATACAATTTAACCCAATTATCGCCGAAACAACTGCTTCTGAGTCGATGGCAAGTCATGAAGAGTTGGGGAATGTTTGCCGACACCAACCGAATGCTGTTCCCGACGGCTATCAACCAATGGTCGCGACGACTGGTGAAGA